GTAAACATTGAGGTATCATTACATTATAAAGTTAAAATAGGGAATGCAAACAGTTGCCTATTTGAACACCTGAGCAACTTCAGCATTCGTTCAGAGTTGTTTCAAATATTCACTTTACTTTTAGCTCTGTTTTTGGTCTCTACCAAATCCTGAGGGGAATAAAAGCAGGGGAGCTAAATGCTCCGCTATCTTTACAAGCTAATCACTAACTGTGTCTGCTGTTTGGTGCTGAACATTTAGCGTACAGTGCGTTTCCAGAATTTTTTTCTGCTGATTTTTTCCGCCTTCTGCGTACGAAACAAGTTGATGAGAGCAGTGGTCCTCAAAACTCAAACAACAAGCTGAAAGAGGCTTAAAACATAGTCAGGCAGTAATTATTTGTGCATTCATCACTTCTAGCAACACCCTTCCCATTAAACAGAGTAGTTTGATCCATTGTTAATTTACAAAAAAAGATAATTGCAGCTTTAAAGCATTAATCTTTCTGTCACATAACTGGAAATATGAACTCCCTTAGTTGAACAAAAGTAACTGATGGAGCAGGCAGAGGTGGAAAGACGTATTAGAATATTGTACTGAAGTAAAAATAGTAGGTCAGATAAAATGTACTCTGAGTACATACTGATGTATATACTGTGCATTTCTTTGCATTTTTATTTCATTATTTTATTTCTTTAAATGTATTATATTCTGCTCTGTTATTTCATTGTATTGTATATATTGAGCATCTTTCATACTTAATATCTTTATGTTTACTCTGTAACTTTGTTTGCTGCTGCTACAAACTAATTCCCCCTGGGGATGAATAAAGTATCTATCTATCTATCTAAATGTTACTGTGTTACTTTTTGATATGATACGTGTTGATGACTAGCTACTGTTGTGAAAGAGTAGGCTACCAATGTCATGCCCGAGGGGCAGATCGGAGACTCAAACGCAGACACAGACACTGGAGACGAGGTGAAGTTTAAACTTAGGAATCTTTACTGGTCAAAAAGGTCATAAACAAACTTAAAGCGACTCCAACGGAGCGGGAAAAAGATCCAAAAACACAAAAGAAAGGCAAAGGGAAAAATCAGGAGCAAACGCTAGAGCACCGAGCAAACACGAGGGAGACACAATACTGGAACAGACAGGGGAACGAACAAGGACGATCAGACAACCAGAACAGGGAAAGCAGGGGAGTATATATGTGTGGGGTGATGAGAAGATAGAAGGCAGCTGGGTGGACTGGGCAGGTGAGTAGGATGAGTGTAATCAGGGGAAACACACACACAGACACAGACACACAGGAACACAGGGGGCAAAGCCTAAACCGTGACAACTAAATAGTTTGCATTACCTGGTTACTTATAACGTTACACAAGTGGAACGATATCAGCAACAATACCCATCATGTCCAAATCAACAGATCAATACAAATACACAACTGCCTTCCTAAGTGTAGCCTCATAGGATTAACCAGAAACTCAGACAATTAAACAAAAAAGATCGACAATTAAATAAGATGAGCTGTGGACAGAAGCGCACTTAAACTTCTCTTAGCATCACCAGTAGAATAAAACATCGTCAAAGCAGACAACGTGGACATAAACTATACAAACACTAACACACACATTACAGGTCAAAAAAATATCGTGGGTGTGTCACTTAAGTGTGCTTGTGGGTTGTGCATTAAATAACTCATTAAGATGGATGCAACATTTATTTTTACTATGCTGAGGTACAGTCATGCTTATTATAACCACATACCATTTAAGCTCCTTAATCTGATTGTGGTTGGAAGTGACCTAGGCCCGTGAACTCGGCGGCCTGTGAACGCAAACATTTATGGCGTATTATTTCCAGATATGAGGAGTACCCCTTTAATAGCCTCTAAAGAAGAACACAGAAAAACACACAAGCACACAAAAAAAATGACTTTGTCACAGTAACAACAGTAACTTTGTTACTTCCAACCCTGAGAGAACTGAACACGAGTCCATGTAAGATCCACCATGTGCGGCCACGGATGGCTGGAAGCTATACAGGTGCTGGTCATATAATTAGAATATCATCAAAAAGTTGATTTATTTCACTAATTCCATTCAAAAAGTGAAACTTGTCTATTATATTCATTCATTACACACAGACTGATATATTTCAAATGTTTATTTCTTTTAATTTTGATGATTATAACTGACAACTAAGGAAAATCCCAAATTCAGTATCTCAGAAAATTAGAATATTGTGAAAAGGTTCAATATTGAAGACACCTGGTGCCACACTCTAATCAGCTAATTAACTCAAAACACCTGCAAAGGCCTTTAAATGGTCTCTCAGTCTAGTTCTGTAGGCTACACAATCATGGGGAAGACTGCTGACTTGACAGTTGTCCAAAAGACGACCATTGACACCTTGCACAAGGAGGGCGAGACACAAAAGGTCATTGCAAAAGAGGCTGGCTGTTCACAGAGCTCTGTGTCCAAGCACATTAATAGAGAGGCGAAGGGAAGGAAAAGATGTGGTAGAAAAAAGTGTACAAGCAATAGGGATAACCGCACCCTGGAGAGGATTGTGAAACAAAACCGATTCAAAAATGTGGGGGAGATTCAGAAAGAGTGGACTGCAGCTGGAGTCAGTGCTTCAAGAACCACTACGCACAGACGTATGCAAGACATGGGTTTCAGCTGTCGCATTCCTTGTGTCAAGCCACTCTTGAACAACAGACGGCGTCAGAAGCGTCTCGCCTGGGCTAAAGACAAAAAGAACTGGACTGCTGCTGAGTGGTCCAAAGTTATGTTCTCTGATGAAAGTAAATTTTGCATTTCCTTTGGAAATCAGGGTCCCAGAGTCTGGAGGAAGAGAGGAGAGACACACAATCCACGTTGCTTGAGGTCCAGTGTAAAGTTTCCACAGTCAGTGATGGTTTGGGGTGCCATGTCATCTGCTGGTGTTGGTCCACTGTGTTTTCTGAGGTCCAAGGTCAACGCAGCCGTATACCAGGAAGTTTTAGAGCACTTCATGCTTCCTGCTGCTGACCAACTTTATGGAGATGCAGATTTCATTTTCCAACAGGACTTGGCACCTGCACACAGTGCCAAAGCAACCAGTACCTGGTTTAAGGACCATGGTATCCCTTTTCTTAATTGGCCAGCAAACTCGCCTGACCTTAGCCCCATAGAAAATCTATGGGGTATTGTGAAGAGGATGATGCGAAATGCCAGACCCAACAATGCAGAAGAGCTGAAGGCCACTATCAGAGCAACCTGGGCTCTCATAACACCTGAGCAGTGCCACAGACTGATCGACTCCATGCCACGCCGCATTGCTGCAGTAATTCAGGCAAAAGGAGCCCCAACTAAGTATTGAGTGCTGTACATGCTCATACTTTTCATGTTCATACTTTTCAGTTGGCCAAGATTTCTAAAAATCCTTTCTTTGTATTGGTCTTAAGTAATATTCTAATTTTCTGAGATACTGAATTTGGGATTTTCCTTAGTTGTCAGTTATAATCATCAAAATTAAAAGAAATAAACATTTGAAATATAACAGTCTGTGTGTAATGAATGAATATAAGAGACAAGTTTCACTTTTTGAATGGAATTAGTGAAATAAATCAACTTTTTGATGATATTCTAATTATATGACCAGCACCTGTATAGTGTGATACTAATGCTGCTAAATGTAGTTTATATCGCTGCTATATGGAAGATAAGAGTTGATGAAGAAAGTAGGCCACTCATTCAACACAATTTTATGATATCACAGAAGCAATATCCAACTTAAATGCTAAAGTGGGAGCACGGCTCAGGCAGTCGTCCAAAAACAGGACATCCTGCATTAGTGGCCATCATGTGCAGACTTTTAAGGATTGGTTCACATATTTTCAAGTCTGTCTCAATACTCACTCGCATGTCCATAATGTACATTGAAAGTGTTTATGGTTGCTGCAGCTGTTCTTGCTTCCCATACTGGCCATTCAAAGTCCCCTTACGAATGTGGTTCCAATGTAAGTGGTAGGGGACAAAATACCCAATCCTTGTTCATCAAAGTCCCATCAAAGTTCAGCTGAAGGTTAAATGGGGCTTCAGCAGCCTGCATTAGTTAGATCAAGTGGCCAGCCTCCAGAGTCATAGTCAATGTCAAAATTCCTACTCTTTCAATGTACATATGGGCATGCTAGTATTGTTTTATGTCAGACTTGAACAATTGTGATCCTGTTCTTAATAATAGAGCATTGAAGATGCCATTAGCCCAAGCAATCAAACATACACAACACACCTTTGCATATATGGCTGTATGTGCATTTTATGTTCAGCCTCAACTTGTCAGTCATTCCCTTAATGGCTCAGATGAATGAGCTGTAAATGCGCTTAAGTGAAAGCGATAAGATCCTAATCATGTCTGCTATAAATGGCACTGTGTCATACACCTCTTACTCATTCTGCGTCCTCCTCTCCATATCCCATGTCCCTAGGACAGTTTGTCACGGGACCTGTGTGACAGTCAGCTCTGTTGTGGTCGAGTTTTGTTTCAGCCTGACAACCATGAGACAGCCGGACTCTGGTCTCTGCAGTGCCTTTGCCCCCGATCGTCACTGCATTGCTGTCCGAGTACGGGGGCGGGGCCGTGAACAGAAGAGAATTTGATGAGCAGGCAAAGATATTCACTCTACAAAAGCGTTGAAGTGTCTTTTTTTTGTGGGTGGATGCAAATCCCCCTCGCATTCAACAACAGCTCTTTCTGGCAGCAGTGGGCCAGTTTCTGGACGGGTTTCTGGCTGGGCCTGTTGGGCCCGGCAGGGATTTGAGTGAGTGGACAGAGAACTGCTCTGAAAGCCACTGAATGGCTAACGTCAGTGAAAAGAGACGCTCTCTCACTGTCATTGAACAAAAGAAGCCTGAAGTTTATTAATAAGCATCTTCTCATGTTTGGAAGTAACTTTCTTTCTGGAGAAAAGCAGCGCAGTGGACTTGATTTGGACTCAAAGAAATGAATAACGAGAGACAAGACACATCTGGTTTTCAGATATTTTATTGATGAAAACATCTTAAACCTTTTTGACCCATTGGACACGTAACATGACATAGCAAAAAAGCTATTGAGAACATATCCTTTGAAGCCCGATCACAGATTCAAAAGCACTGCAACACCGGCAGTGGTACACTTATAAAAAAAAAAATAGCAATCATAAAAAATATACATACAAGACAAAGATCTTTTTCCATCTCTTTTCAAAGTGTGATTCATAAAAGACTGCATGAACAGAAACAGGTATTCGAGACAACGCAATACAAGACAATGCAGTAACCCACAATCTCTAACTGACAGGCAGACTGGAGCTAGTGAGCTAGTCAGCTGTTTCGGACTTCACTGAGTAGGACAATACATTGCCTGCACAATCCATCGATGTGGATGTAACAACTGAACACAGCAGTTCTGGATCATCAGAATCAGGCGAGTCAGAGGAGGAGAAAGACAGTTTTTTTTTTTTTTTTTCAGCGCAGTATTGAGTTGATGCTGGTCTTCTGTACCGTTTTATGCTCGTTTTGTTTTTCAATCTGCCATCCGGTAAGGCTGCAGTATAGATTGCAAGGAATAAGTGAGTTAGGAAAGCCGAAGCATGTAATCATTTATGTACACAGTTCTTTAAAATGGTGTTGATTGACGCATTCAAAAAAAAAGACATGAATGAGCATCATTAAAGCAAATGAAACAAAGCTTGCAACTTAAAGTCTGCACTTTTCTTCAGTTTCCACTCTTTTTTTTTTAAACAACAATCACATGATTAAAACAGAGAGCAAAATGCTGATAACAGAATGTTTTGGTCTCCCTGAAGAAGAAAAAAACAGAGGAGAGCTGCAGCACTCCGTTAAGTCGTAGTTATGACCTGAACACGACAGTTTGTACAGTAAAGCATGGTAGCCCTGGAGATAAACCCCATCACCAGCTGCACCCATCTCTCCAGACCGACACACTCACTCCCTCGCCGCCTTCTAACCACTACATTATCCTTTCTCTCCCTCTGCTGTCCATCTCCCCGTCTTCTATATTAACACAGCATCACCCCCGTCAAACTTCAGGGCTGTCAGCGGCTGTCAGCGAATTGTTTAGCACAACATTCTTCTGAACCCTGAATGGAGCGTTTGCAGACGCAACCCCAGCTAAATTCAAGCTCTTCAGCAGCAGCTGAGGAATTCCCTGCCAGGGTGCTACAGCAAATAGTGTCTCATCGTCTGAGGTGTCTCCGCAAATACCCTTCTTCTTGTAGGAGGAAGCATAGGGAACAGACACCAGCTCTCTGAATGCATCTCTCTCTCTCTCTCTCTCTCTCTCTCTGTCTCTTATCTACTTCTTGTGAACATGTTTTGATGAGAAACAGGAGAAGCACCTCTGTACAAAATATACAGGAAATTGTGTGTGTGAGTTTCCTTTATCAACGATAATCTGGCAATGCTGGTCATCCTTTCTCTTCACACATTATGCAATACCTGTTTTAATTTGCAACACTTCTGGGTTCTCACTCTGAGGAGACAACATTTTTGCATTTCCAAATACCGCACGTGAAAAATGAGAATCTCTTTCCAATCAAGAGCGGCGTGCACATTTGACTGCTACTTAACTGCGAGGTCCACAGTAACACATGGTGATCTTTTTTCATCCGAGCATAAACAAACACTTGCTGCATGAGTTCACGTGTACATTCACAAGCCTCTGGGGTACTATTGTCTGGTGTGCCTGGCTACAAACACAGTGGAGCGAATTCACAAAAGAAAAATCATATGGCCTGCTCATTCTTTCATAGGCACTTGATACAAACACATAAATCTCGACATGTACAAATAGACACAGATTAATTTTTTTCTTTTTTTTTCTCCCCATCAAAATAGGGTTTTAATGTTAGAAACAATCGAAAGCAAAAATCTTTGGTCTGTAAACAACCATAATGATATCCAAATGCAAGGCGGAGATGCCAGTTTGTCATCCAAACTAGTTTCACAGCATCCCACTTCAGTTAAGCTGATGTGAAGCAGAGTCTAGGGGTGCTCGTTTTGGAGCCCTCGTGCACACACCTCTGATTTCACCTTGAGTGTGTGAGTGTGTGAGCGTGTGCGTGTGCGTGTGTGTTGCTGTCAACTTCAGGGCACTGATGCAGCCATTTGGTCTGCTGTCGGAACGTGCTGGCTAATTAGTTATTGACAGACTTCAATCCGTCTCGCACAGTTTCGATGACAGTTCTGCTGTTGCATTGAGCCTTTTATTTCCAAGCTACCGCAAATTAGTCTTTTCCAAACCTGGCTGGCCTGGGCGGGATCAGTAAGCCTTTTCGAGAAAATGTGAGATATTCACATCGAAATATGTACTCGAAGTGAAAGCTAAAAACAGGCTTTGAGGCAAAACATTAAAAAGAGGACTCCTTTTCTTTCTGTCAGCTGTCAAACACTGGGCAGGAATGAGGAGGCAACCACGCCGCAGGCTCTTGTTTAAACAAATCAGATTCTGTCCCTCCACCTTTCCTCGGGGCTGACTCAGTTGCAGGGCAGCCAGGTGGAGTATGCAGGCTGCTGGCAAGCGAACATCGGCTGAACCTGTGCTATGTAGTAGTTACTGAAGTTCCCATCTGCCACATAAGGGGCGGGTTGATAGTAACATGTAACGTTAGCCACGTTGGGGATGACGTTCTGCTCGGCGAGAACGCGCACCGCCAGCATGGCTATGAGCCCCAAGGTCTGCCGCCTCTCGTGTCCCATCAGGCACACCGTGCTCTCGTTGACCACTCCATGGAGGGTCATCAGGTAGTCGTACTTGCGGTCCTCCAGGCCCACAAAGTGGTTCTGAAGATAGGACTCCAGCTTGCGCTGTTGCTCGCCGATGTCAGAGAAGTCAATGAAGAAGCGTGAGCACATGTAGCGCTGCAGGGACTTCATCTTGGACTCGGATGCGGCCCGGAAGCCCCTCACCAGCAGGTGACAGTACTTCAGCAGGCCCCCACCCCGGATCTCCTCCGGGTTCCGGGTGCAGATGAACTTGTGACGCAGGTGGTCCAGGGCCTCACTGAAGTCCCCGTACACACTCTCGCCCATGATGGTGGGGTGGAAGGTCTCGGCCATCGGGTTCTCTGAGCACTCGTAGAACAGCAGCAGGGAGTCCAGCTTGATCTGAAAGGAGTCCACGCTGAACTCAAACTGCCGCCGGAGGGAGTCCACAAACTTGAGCTCCACATTCTTTCCGCGGTTGTTGGAGAGGGAGATGAGACTCCAGCGGTCTGAGTCATTACACACCTTCACCATCTTCTGCACATAGGCTTCCTATGGGGCAGAGAAAGAGCATAAATATTAATAATATTGAAAAAATATGATTATTTATTTTGCATTGTGCAGCTGGGTTCTATATTTAATAACCAGTTATCTTTATATATAAGTAATAGCTGCATGTCTTTGTGTCATAAACCTTGTGTTATTCACGCTATTGACCCACATATTGAATGCACTTGGATATGGGATCTAGGTGGCTGAGCTCAGGATCTCTTCCAAATTGGTTTAACTCAATCCTCTTAACTACGTAAAACAAACATTTTACTATCACTAAACTAATCTAATTGTACATTAAGCTGCGCGTAATGGTCGTTAAGCCGAATTGGCACAAATGTAATTAGTTCTTATCACATATCTAGAGGTAAATAATTGAAGCAATGGAGAAAGAAAAGTTGTCCGAGTGACTGTACCTTTAATGTTAACGGGCTTATTTTCTCTTTATTCACACAGTCGGGTAAGAAATCCAGGAGGCAGTCCAAAACTATGTCCTTCACAGTCTGGAAATCCCTTTCCCCTTTCATATCTGCGCAGAATATGAGGTCGAGGTCCTTATAGCCCAGTCCGCTATCCCCATGCAGAATGTGGCTGGCTGCTGAGCCGTTTAACCGAACGTCCCGGACGTGGATCTGTTTCTCCTCCATCCGCCTGCGCACCACTTTGACGATCTGCCTCGGCTGCATCTCCAGGGTGGGGAAGTTCCCGCGGCCGTGGATCGGGATGGTCTCCGTCAGGATGGCGTCCAGCCGCTGCACTTGCTCCCAGTTCAGGACGCTGACGTTGCTGCCTTCAGGGTCAGACATAGAGCTGGCGGTGGAGCTACTGTCGTCCTCTGACATGGTGAAAAGTCCTCAGCGATGTAAAGAAAAAAGAAAAAAAAATGCGTAGTGTTCTTAAAATATAAGAACAAATGAAGTGATCGCGTCTTTACGCACTAATTCTAGGTAACTGAAGCTTCCTATGCATGAGGATTCTTACGATCTGAAGTCGTCCAAATTGACAGCGAACATAAAGAAATAGAGTAAAAAAATATTGAAGACCCAAGTCAAATAGTGACAGCAATAAGCCTGTGGTTGGAGATCCAGTTGCGCAGCAGTCGAGCTGTTGTGTTGAGGAAGAAGTGCAGCCAGTCAAGAAGCGTGTGGAAAACGAGACCTAACTTTCTCTTCTCTCCCCTCAGTGCTTTTAAAACATTTGCCCCGGTGTCACAGTCAATGCGTCCGAGCGCTGCGCATCACAGTCTTTGAAGGTCGCTGGTGATCCAGGAGGGGGTTTGCTTTTCCGGCCGTGACTCCATCGCCCAAAGGCACGCCTATGATTTTATGAATTTGCATGAATAAGCGTCTCCTCAAGTCGCACTTTGGCCCAATCCACCCTCTTAACGATCAACCCCTCTCAGGAATCTTGCGGATTTTTTACGCACGGCTCCAACATGTTTTTTAATTTTCTCCTCTTTGTCGCCAAGCAATAATCCCGTTGATGCAGTTTGAATGTGCTCAGGAAATCCGGCTTTCTCACCCCCCAACTCTGTTTAGTTCGACATATTTTCCCCACTTGTGGAGGAGTTAACCGTTACCTGCCCAGTTGACATGCTGCGCCCTTCTGCAACAGTCCGCTCTGTAGGTTGAGGATGTCAGCTGTGCTTCACCCCGCCCCCGTTCTGACAGTCAGCCCTGCTGCTCAACACGATCACACTGCGAGACTTTATGAACCAGCTCCTTTCATCGGATTCTGATACCGCTTTTAATCTGAAGTCCTTGAAGTGCTCATTTTCATTAACAAAATATCACTCCATTGAATATGTTCTGCTCAAAATGATAATGGGTGCACCTGTGTTCGTTAAGTTCGTTAAATAAAGCTTTTTTTATTAAGTGAAATAAATAAATATAAAGGTTTTTCTTTTTCTGTTTTAATCTTTGTAAGATTCAACTGTTGCTGATCTATATATAAAGGTTGCTTGGTGTTGCCATGTCGCCCTCTGTGGGCTGGTTTAGGTTTTGACACAAAGTAACCTGAAACAGGACTAGTGAAGAGTCACATGGGAGTGCTGTAATATATACATTGAACTTGCACCAACTCAACAAGCCAAGAAGGAAATGGGACTTATGTCTGTTGTAAACAGACAGGAAATATTTCCCCTGTAATCCCGTAAGCCTGTTACCCCCAGACCACTAACACCTCCGGGTTAGTGGTCTGCAGCCTCTCCCTGACCGTTGCCCTCGGCTTATATCGACGTATATAGACAATCACTCATCTGAACTGTTAAAGCACACAGTGTGCTACTCCCACCTTAAAATACACATCAAGAGGCTTAATGTGTCTCTAAGGGTCTTTGACAATCCAGGTAGAGCTGTATGATGTCCCTTTAGAGGCTGTTGTATTCTGGCTCTTCTGTATCCACTCAGTTTTTCCTATATTCAGAAATTCATATTCCTAGCATGTGTGTGTGTGTGTGTGGGGGGGGGGGGGGGGGTGTCAGGGGTCAGATGAAAGCAGAGGCGAGCCCCAGGGCCCAGGAAGTTGCAGGGACAGGTTCTCTGGTTCTCCATTAGGCAACATAAAGCCCTGCGTCACTAGCCACCCAGATCTGTAAACCCTGATTATCCCATTTATTCTATCTTAACTCCAAGGCCCACACAGGAGCTCTGCCTCTGCACAGTGTCACACCCTAGGAGGGGACACACACATGCACTTTTATTCAAGTTCATTCAATTGTGCAGTTGTTACAGTGAATACAGCAGTAAAAGGAGCTCCTAAATCACCAGAATTACCAATTAAGAGCTAAAAAAAAATGTTTCTGTTACATGGAGTAATAGTTGTAAAAGAATGAAACTTCCGTTCTTTTGTCAAATTTAACTTTTGTTTTGTTTTCATACTTTGCTTTGGCGCGTGTCAGACAGGTTGATCACAGGTCTCTGAAATTGAATCCCACATCTGGAAATGTACATGGAACTATTAGTCAGCTTCAATGGACAGAGAGCAGCCTCATCGATGTGTTTCCCAGGTGTGGAGAGATGGTTCGCCGTCCTCGGTGCAAAGCTAAATCAAAGCCGCTGTCAGAGACTACCAGCAGGTATATGCATACAGTACAGGTCCAAAACAGAGCCCTGCTGATGAGTTTGATTTGTGTAAATACTACCTGGCACCTCATTACTCACTATGGATGATTCATCGGTTGGTGGTTATTTAAAGACATTAATTAGATTATTTTGTCAGAAAATTAAATCTAAGCAAGAATTAAAAAACAATACACTTAACCCCTCTAGTGACTGTCCCTTTAATCTACATCAGTTTGTATGTATTTAGTCAAAACCTTCAGCAACTTAAAATTTGGAAAGTAAAAAAAAACATTTCCAGACAGAGAAACAGAGCGCTGTTTACTTCTTCTATAACTCATAAAGCAACCTTTAACAGGGACAGTGTTTGTCTCTGGGGTCTATGAACCCTTTACTGGACAGTCCAGTGACATTTATGTGACTGCATGAGTTGGATTTATCTACATCCTAGCAACCTTTGAGCTTTTTCCTTCAGGTCAGGGGTTCTCTCAATTCAACACTGCATTCACATTAATACATTTTTAAGGTCGGAGATCAGTTTTACTTGCAAATCTTTACAATTCTTCGGCCTAATGTCATAAGTATGGAGTCCTAAAGTGTTCAGTATAACAAAAGACACAATGAGGTAAATAATTACATGAATGAATACAATTATATGTGTACTGGAAATTATAAATAATATGAAATTTTTTTTTAAGTATCTTTTCATATCACTTTTCAGGACAGTGGAGTTGTCACCTGTGCCCGCCCCCTTACCTTTTAGCCAATCACATGCTCCTTCAGGCTTTCTTAGCAGACTCACCTACTGAAACCAAAGTTTAGCCAGTTAACGTTAGCGCCTGTCAGCTAGAGCGACGACACCGCTGCTGAGGTAACTCTGAATGAACCAACACGAGGCCGCTGCTGTAAATAGACACAATGCACCATTAAAATAGAATACCAAACCCTTTTGTTTAGCCTAACAAGGCTGCACATGCTGCGGAGACATACACGGACCTCATTCAGAGTTACCACGGCATTTTCATTCTCACGTTGTTTGACATACAGACGCACAACTTTGTGAAAAGAAAAACTACAAAATCTTTCTCTGGGGTCGTTGTAGCTAACGGGAGCTAGTAAGTTGGTTAGCCTGTTGGGAGGATGAGGGCGCATGTGATTGGCTGAGGGGTCAATGACAACTCCATCGTTATGAAAAGGGACATTGCGAAAGGAAAAATTACTTTGTTTTGAAAAGATAAGAATGAAAAATAATAATTACTAATTATATTTTTTACTCTGTTAATTCTTTGGGTTATCTATATACTCTTGTTGTATTTATTAATTTAATATTGACGACTTTGGGGCTCCATAATCCAGAGTTCTCTCTGCTGTAAAAGGTTCTGTGGAGGATTTTAGTGATGTCGAAGTGCCGTTTCCTCCTTTACAAGAATAACATTTTGGAGGAAACTTTGAATTCCTGCAACATTTTGACAAATTTAATATAAATAATAATATCATTGATCTAATTGTAAAAATGAAACTATTGATTCAAGCAAAAACTTGAGGGAGTATTGGTAGAACCCTAGGTCATGTGGATTATCTTCTGTGATGGACCTGCGATAAGGGAAGCCTGTTAAAAACATCACCACCGGAGCAATTTGATGTTTCGCCTATTTTCCAATTGCAACCATTTTTAAGAAATGAATTGTGTGGAATTCTGTTTCGTTTATAGTATCAGCCAGAATAGATGTTGCGGTCCAAGTTCCTTCGGAGAAATCCAGGGAAAGCCCGGCCTTCTTCTATCAACCTCTCAATCAGCAGAGGAGGAGGAGGAGGAGAGAACAGAGACGCTTGTTAGTTGTGCCAAAGTGGAGAAGACGGGCCAGTGAGCAGCGATGACTGATGAATCAATGCATGCGAAGGTGCAAAATAACTCTGTTGGCCCGTGTCGTGTGCAGAGTTGTGATGAAAGGAAGGGCTTTGAAGGCCTTAGAAACATTAGACATCTGATTTTAATACTGTCAACAGAAAGGGAAATCCTTTTCCTGCTGCTGGTGTGGCCGAGAGAAGTAAAGACGGTGGAATAACAGGGTGTCACATTCCATCTGAAACACTTGACTGAAGCTATGCAGCGTGACAGAGGTCACCACGTGTGGGCGAGGAGTCTCTGAGCCAGTGTTGCTTGAGGAAACGTGAGCGATGTACATGACTAGAAAACAAAAGATCCAGTCAAGGCCACCCACTTCTGTGTCTCCTCACCCACTTTTCACAGAGGCAACTGGATTCCCAGGAGGGTCCCATTAGTTTGTCTGTCAGAGAGAAATTCCCACTGCTGACGGCAGAGTTAGTTTTGGTTGTGGATCAAAGGCACCGGGGAAGAAATGGGATTTCCATTCCTTTTCAGTCAAACTGCTTCTGACGCACAAAAAAAGCTGGAGAATCGCTCCTCCGTCAAGGAGAAGTAGCGCGGGGGTTATGCTGGGTCTGGGGAGAGAAGAAGCAGCAGCCATCACTTGGTGACAGAAGATCCCCTCATTTCAGCTCTTTTGATCCCAAAGAGCTGGCGTGCGTGGTGAGCTTGTTTTCAAATGATCCTGGCACATTAATGCTGAATGTTACAGAGGGGGGTCCAGTTTCACAGGGAAATAAAGAGCCCCATCTCTTCTAATCTGTCTTATTATGGGTCGTTGGGATGTCACAGCTTGCAGCTCCAGGGCCAGTAAAGGAGCTGAATGCTGCCGCACTCAAGCACTTGACAGACTAATAGATGCTACAGACACACACACACACACGCTGTGATCCTGGCACTGAATGTGCTGTCGCTGGCTAACTCGCGTTCAGTGGATTCGCCCTTAATGGTAGGACAGCCTCTCCCCCACCTGGATGTCCAAACCACCATGAAAAAAAGCATGCTGGAACACCTTTAACTCAATGGGGTTTTATGATCTGTCACTGTAACGTCGAGCTTAGCAGTTGCACCCTGCGTCCATTTGCAGTCGTTCGATACGGAAGCATGAAACAAAAGACAGGAGGGTGGTTGAGGTCTTGGGACAAACATATATTGCTTATCCTTATTCGGTGGAGGAATAGTTTGAAACAGTTTAACCGAGCATAAAAACTCGAAACACAAGAAGCAGTTAGCCTGGCTCTGTCCAATGGCAGTCTGACTCACCGGATGTAGACTGTGGGTATAAGTTTGCCATTGGCCGCCTGTCTCATGCGGCAATCTCCTCCCCTTTCGCTATCTGCGGATCTATTTTACATGGGCACCGTCACTGCATCCTGTGCTTAGAGCGCGCCTAAGACGACTGTGATTGGTTCAAAGAAATACAAACAAGCCAGAGGTTGTTTTTTTTGTCTGGAGCCAGACCCTTCTCCAATTAACAATTCAGATTTCATGGCCGATTATGTGTGGGACTATTTCTTGACCAGGCACAGGAACTTCTTGAAGCAACAATGCTTCGTAAAACCAAAAATCAAAGACAAACCAAAATACAAATCGATTTTTGCAAAGATTAAACATACAATATATAATAACATGTGCGCTAATTAG